TATATGATAGAATTTAGGTAGCCCTAATGCAGTATATGGATACTTATTTCAGCAGTTATTCTAGTAGCTGACAGACCTCGTGCGCATCGACAACAATTGCCCTATTGAATAATGGACAGTCAAGCACGAATGTTTCATACTCGCCACCTTCACCGCATGGATGAACGCCATATTCCGAATGGAGCTTCAGCAGAGTAGATTCCATCTGAAATAAGAGTGTTGGGGTATTGGCGGACAGGCTAGGCCAACACTCTGATTGTGTACAGATGACCAAGACACCAGAATGAAACACATCATAGCTTCTATTGTTTTCAAAGCGTATGCATAGACACCAAAGTTTTTGAGTAGCAGCAAAGTGTACACATTTGTTGCAAAAAACATATATCAAAACCAAAATTCGTTTGAATCTTAGCAACAGCCGGTTGAAGCAGATATAGTTGATTCCTAACACAAGATAACAAAACGCTCGCAGACAAAGAGGCAGTGCGCCTCTAAGTTCTGAGCGCGGAAAATTCAAAAATCAGTTTTTTTTCTGCAGCCGTGGAGGATAATGTGTAGGTTTTTGAAGTGATTTTTCTTTATATTCCTTTCCAGCAGAAGGTACCAGCTGACTACTCAAGCAGGTGTTGTTGTCTATCTCGTATGGTAAGTAGAACGAATGGTCCATTTGCATTTTCGTCTTTTCTTAAATTGGCTTACCAGATAAGATAGGCAACCCAGCACCTGCTTGAGAAGTCATCTAGTACCTTCTGCTTGGAAAAAAAGGATACAAAGAGAAACCAAAGAAAACTCATGTGCTACCCTCCATGGTTGTACAAAAAGCTAATTTTCGCATATTCTGCCTCGAAACTCAGTGGAGTTGAGGCGCCGCTCCTTTGTCTGCGATCATTTTTGTTATCTTGTGTTAGGAAGTGACTATATATGGAGCCTGCTTGCGCATACTTCTGCATCGACACTACCCATTCAGGACACCCCTGATAGCCGCAACTCTATCCATTTTCGTGAGTGTGCTTCGGAAGTCTATGAATCTCACGTTTGATCTTTGACTATAACTGGGTTCTTAACTCATTTATTAAGTACGCATTCGCATAAATGGCAGCCATTACGGAGGCCGTAGGCGGCACCATCTAGACTACTCATGCAAATCCATGATTTTGACATATGCAGCTAATATCTAAGTAAAATATCGTAAAAATACGACTATCGTAAACATGCATCAAATTACCCCGAGATTTAGTGTCACAATCAGTTCCGAGTTTTATTCCTAAGAAATTAAGCCATCAGTGAACTTTTTTGCTCTCTGACTCTAATTTCTATTAGTTATAGATTAAATATCATGTTACAATAACTTCTGACTTCTTAGATTTTTCGTCTGAAAAACCGAATAAAATTAACGAAATAACAATCCAATACATAACCATGTAAAGTAGGCTTCTATTCAGCAAAAACGGCAAGTCCAAAAAATGTGATATAATTGAAGTTGAGAACTGCTTCTATACTTTCAAACTTAAGGGTATATAACAATTTTTACTAGAGTGAGGTCTCAGAAGTTTTTGACCTCGCCTTGCGTCATCTTCCGTATGCTCTGCCAAAGGATACGATCAAGACTGATACAATAGGATCCATGTTAGAGGTGAAGGACCAAAAAACTTAAGGTAGGAACTTCTTTCTCCGATTGAGAATATGATTCGAGGAACTCTCAATACACACAAACACCCGAAAATTCTCTATGCTCAAAAAGGTTTGGAAAACAATACATTATCCGTATTACTACCAATTGAATCTGTGTTTTATACTCAACATGAGACATTTAGGAATCATTACTGCTATAATATAGTACAGCAATAATCTATAACAAACCTAAAATATCTTTTCCTAATAAAACGATATGTTTTATACTCAAGGTAAAAGCACCCTGAATCGTTGATCCCAAATCACCTTTTGTTGTGTGAATCTCCGGGAATTATAATAACCTTTTTTCATGCCAAACTAGCGCGTACGTAGTATCGATTATCGATGTGAAAGCTATAAATTAGAATTTTCACTTAGGCAATAAATGAGCTTTAATTCCTACTTTAATTGACAAGCCGTACACATTGCTTACAGCAGAAAGGCTGATGTAACTGCTTCAACGCGCACAGATAGCACACGCAAAGCAATCTTGAAATCACCATTTTCGGGCGTACCTAGCTCATAATCTTACCTCCGATAAAGACTTTCCAAGATGATTTTTGTTCAGTCCGATAGCAGCTACTTTCACCAATATTGCATTGAAACCATTCGAGATCATTTCTCGCAGCAGTTCCTGCAAGACATTACAGTGGTATGCAGTACGCAGTTCGACGAGGCAAGATGCGTCATTACTAGATTAACATTTTTATTCCTTACTTTCTTAGAATTTGAGTAGCTGTCATATGGTTATACTACTTTTTTGAAGTACAGAAATTCATCTATTCTAAGCTGTTCCAAAACCATTACTGGTTACGATTTGGCCTCGATAGAGAATCATTCTCTAATCAACAATCATAACGCCTCAGAACTTCATTTCTAAGATAGGTGCCTTCTATAGACCCTTTTAGTAAGAAGATGCTTGTTATTACCTGATCACAGCATAGTAGGTGAGAAAGGCAAAAACCATCCGGTTACTGATTCGTATGTTTATTATAAACAGATTTACAAGAGCGAGAAATGAACATTTGATTGAAGCATATCTTTATTGGCTTACATCAACGTTTTGGCAATTTCGCCTTCGTCGGAGCCTTAGAAGATAGCACAACGAAGTGTTCACGAATAGACTACTTATGGACAAAGTTGACCGAAATTTTGCGAATTCGACGAACAACGAGAACTTAAGCGAACGTGCTGCACTGCAGCGATGTGATTACGAAACTAAAAGATAGAAACTGAAAGAAAACATATAATGCTGCATCTGTTAACCTTAAAAAAAGCGGCAATTAGGGAAGAAGCTAAAAATATCAAAAGCGTTTTAAAGCATTTTCAATATGTTACCTAAGATTTCGTTAGCAATCAGCTCAAAGAGTGTGTATTTGCAATTGAATTGTTGAGTTACCTTTTGATCACGTTCCCAAAGATAGCACAAAGGCGTCAAATTCAAACGACGGCAGACATCTTCTACCCGTAACTTTTGGTAGCTTGAAAGTATTGCGCCGGCAGAGACACCTAAGAGGTGAAGAGTTCACAATAAACCAAATCACCAATCAACTTAGTCACCTTGCACAAGAGGATGATGTTCCTTCACAGTTTTCAACAGCTCATACAAATCTTCAACTTCGTCGCCTGCGGTGATCTCAAACAATATAATCTTGCATAAAATCAGAGGATTAGAATTCGTATACGACTAGAGTACTTTGAAGTAATTCTGTTGTCAACTTTTACAAGCACCGGAAAATACACTTCGTTCCGGTATGGTATGCCGTTTGAGTTTGCCCTGTTGCGCTTGGTTTTGCTCTAACAATTAGCTTATAACGCCCGTGATGGCCTACCGCTCAGTGTGCAGGGGGATG